AGACCAGCTCTGAAGTGCTTGAGCCCTCATCAAGTATGAATTTGTGGCTATCTATTATCTGGCTAAGATTAGGAAGTATTATTAATGAAGTGCACCTTCCTGACATGCCTGCCCTATTTAGATCCATCATAATTCTGATTAGCCTTGGCAGTACCTCAGCATCTAATAAATTGAATCCTGCATGTTCTCCTGGACAGCAGAGGCTAATTAGACAAAATTGTGATCTATTTGGTCTTGGCATTTGTCTGGGAGATGTAGACTAATTGCAGTAGCTCGTCACTGTCTTTGAAATGTAATGTGAGTCCCAGCCTGACTGTTGCTAGTACTTACTTTTAAATTTATACATACCCAGTGGCATAGCAAATGTGTAATACCTGGGTCTCCCCTGGGAGGTAGAAAGGGATTCTAATTTTTAATGTTTGCTCATTCCCATAGTGTAAATAGTTCTACCTTGGCTGATGTAAACCTGATATTGCAAACTTCCTGAAAATGTAACAATAACTTTTTGCAAGTGGTACAGGCTGGTTTCAGCACAGCACATTCTGGATGTGGGTATGGGAACTTATGTGAACTTTATTTTCATGAATAATTGTTCACTTTAAGTACATCAGAGTTACCTGTTCATGACTGGGGAAAAATTCTGAAAGTGACGATTTTGAGAGTAGCCTGGCTTGTATTATCTCTAGGCTTTTCCTTGGCATCTGTGCACTTTAGTACAGGGGTGGGCAAACTTCTTTGACTCGAGGGCCACAATGGGTTCTTAAACTGGACCGGAGGGCCGGAACAAAAGCATGGATGGAGTGTTTGTGTGAACTAATATAAATTCAAAGTAAACATCATTACATAAAAGGGTATGGTCTTTTTTTTTTTAGTTTTATTCATTTCAAACGGGCCGGATCTGGCCTGCGGGCCGTAGTTTGCCCACGGCTGCTTTAGTATCTAGGGCTCTTAGGAGGCCAGGCCCAACCCTGTCCCCTGGGGGAAGGGTGTGGTAGGCAGGATAATGGCCTCTAAAGGTGTCCACGTCCTAATTTTTGTAATCTCTGTTATCTTACATGACAACAGGGAGTTAAGAGTATAGATCAGGGGTCCTCAAACTTTTTAAACAGGGGGCCAGTTCACTGTCCCTCAGACCGTTGGAGGGCCGGACTATAGTTTAAAAAAAACTATGAACAAATTCCTATGCACACTGCACATATCTTATTTTGAAGTAAAAAAACAAAATGGGAACAAATACAATATTTGTATTTGCATGTGGCCTGCGGGCCGTAGTTTGAGGACCGCTGGTATAGATAGAATTAAGGGTGCTAATTAACTGACTTTAAAATAGGGAGAATAGTCTGCATTATTTGGGGTTGCAGATGGGGGAGGGTGGTGCTCAATGTAATTACAAGGGTTTTTAAAAGTAATAGAGAGAGACAGACAGAGTGCATGAGCCAGAAAATGGCAGCATGAAAAGGATTTGGACTAATGTTCCTAGATGTGAAGATAGTGGAAGGGGCCACAAGCAAAGGAATGTGGACTGCATCTAGAAGCCAGAAAGAGGCAAGGAAACAGATGCCTTCCTAGTGCCTCTGGAAAGGAATTCAGCTCTGCTGACATCTTTAGAGTAGATCAATGAGACCCATGCTGGACTTCCAAGCATGGAATATAATAAATTTGTGCTGCTCTAAGCCTCTGTATTGATGACAATCTGTTATGCAGCAATAAGAAACTAATACAAAGGGGTATCACTATAAAACACTACCAAGGTCCCTCTGTACTTGCTAAGGACCTACTTACCTTTGGCTCCTTATCCTTGGCTCTAAAACCTTCACTGTGATTCTACTTGTGGCCCTTTGGTCTTATACTTGATTGTCCTTGGCTTTGCTGGCATTTGAAATGTGGCTTTTCCAAATAGACTGATTTCTTTAACTCCCTGTACCACTGCCTATTTAGCAGGTACCCAGCCCAGTCACCCTGCATCACACCCCTCCTAAGGGAGAAGGAGATTGAGATCATCATAGCCTCAACACTGTTCCTCTTCTTTCTACTTCCTCAGCCCCCACTGTGTGCCATGCTCCTAGCACCTAAATCCTAGACAATTACAGTAATCCTTCCTCTAAACCAGTAGGAATGTAACTCCCCCAAAGGGAAAGAATGAGTGTCACTTGTGCCTTCTGCTTAAGTACAAATGCCTTAGGTTGGCATTCACCATTTTGTCCCGCTCTACTTTACTGAAGGTATCTATAGATATAAAACCCTAATATGCAAATAGACCAAATGGCGGAACAACCAAACAACTGGTTGCTATGACATGTGCTGACCACCAGGGGTGTGCGTGGAACATGGTGGGCATCAGCAGCAGGTGGCAGAGCATGGAACATGGCAGGCGTTGGCCATGGCGGGATGGTGGAGCAAGTGAGCGGGGGCACCAGACCAAGGTGGAGCCCCGGTTGTTGTCGTCAAGGCAAGCCTCTGGTGGTTACTGAAAATTCTTTGCTCCCACGTGCTGCAGTCCCTCCTGGTGCTCACACCTGCTGCCAGTGCCAGCCCCGCTAGCACTTGCTGCCAGCACCAGAGCCGCCGCTCGCACCCACTGCTGGTCCCAATTGCTCGGTGCCATCAGCTGTGTGAGCGGCGGCTGCAGGCCCCAATTGCCCCTCAGGACTTCTCCACCTCCTTCTGCTCCTGAGGGGCAATCAGGGCAGCAGCAGCCACTCACACCCACTGCTGGCACCGGCCCCAATCACTCCGTGCCTATGCAGGTGTGAGTGAGGCCAGCGCTGTCAGCATGTGGGGGAGGCAGTGGTGATGGGAGAAGGGCTGCTAGCAGACAGGGGACCAGGAGCCACAGTGGGAGGGGCCGGGCAGGGATTCAGAGGATGGGCTGAGACCCATCCCTGTGCCCACTTGTTGGGGTCCAACCCCAGCAGGTCCAGGGGTCCCCAAAGGTGTGGACGGAGTCGGCGAAGAAGGAATGACACGGAGACAGCATTCAGTTGATCAGCAGCCTAGCCAGGATCTCTAGCCAAGTTCTGTGTTTTATTGTCTTGTTACATCTGTATTTATACCAGTTGATTTTAATCCTGTCAATTTCTATTCCAAAGGTTAGGGCGTTTCTTATCTCCATTCCAGGGAGTAAAGATTATGTAGCTTAAGGGTGATTGTTAAAGTGATTAACTACCTGCCTGGCATTTAGTTAAGGGGTTTTATTCCCTCCCTAACTTCAGGGAAAAAT